TGACATGAGGGATATCATTGCTGACAGCAAATAGCTTAAAGCAGAGAATACCAGAAAGATGTTTATGTGTTTTTTATTGACTATGCAAAGGCATTCGACTGGGTGGATCCATAAGCAAACCATGGCTAGCACTGAGAAGAATGTGTTTTGTAACTCCCATGGAGTTACAAAAACCCACAGTGACAGCTCTACTCTGTCCCATAGGGTGGCTATTGGTTGGAATCAACTTGATGGCAGTGAGTTTGCTTTGGGTTTGGTAGTGTAATAGGTTAAGCATTGGGTTGCTAACTATAAGGTTGGCAGTTTTCCATTCTGCAGGAGCAAGATGAGGCTGTCTACTCCTGTAAAGATTTACTAAACCTTACCTAGTAGCAATAGTTTTTTACTATCACATATATTTTTATTACAACAATAAAAAAAAAAACTATCCTCTCTCGACCTTTCATATGAGAGGTTAGAGGAGAGGCAATGCATATGCAGAAGCTTCTAATTATTAGAACTGTTTGTAAGAAATAGGGAATAAGTAGAAATATTCCAGAAGCAGCACAGCCAATACGGCAGGATGGGGTCAGAAGGGAGACAATTCTTCCTGCAGGAAGTTTGCAAGGAATTCCTAGCCCAAGAACTCCACCATGCTTCCTGGGTTTTTCCCACTGGGCCAAGCCATGCCACTAGCCCTTGCTGGGCAGTCAGTATAGACTTTGCTGAGTGAATCAAGTCATTCATTAAGTGGATCAGACCAGAAACAGGAGAGATTCTGGACTCATCTTGCCCTCAGTCCCACATTCAATCTACCAGCAAATCCCAGCATGATACCTTGGGCCAAAGGCAGGTATACCTAGACCCAGACCACAGCAACCCTGGCTGCTACCTCTCCAGTCCAAACCACCAATGCCTCCAGACCACTTTTTATTGCAAGTTTCATAACTAAGCTCTTCTTCACTCTTGCCCACTTCCAGCCCACCTATTCTCAAAAGTGAGGTTAGAATCATCCTTAAAATATCTCTCACAACAAGTGATCCAAATTGGTGGTGAGGTGGGTGTGGGAGGCCTGGTAGGGCATGATCAAGAGTAATGTAACAAAGAGGAATTGCTGAAACCCTGGTGGGGA